CAATACATCTTCATAGTAAAATCACCTTCCAATGCCTTTTCATAGTAAAATCCCTTTCCAATGCATTTTCATAATAAAATCCCTTTCCAATGCATTTTCATAATAAAATCCCTTTCCAATGCATTTTCATAGTAAAATCACTTCCCAATGCATTTTAATAGTAAAATCACTTTCCAATGCATTTTCATAATAAAATCACTTTCCAATGCATTTTCATAATAAAATCATAAATGCATTTTCATATTAAAATCACTTTCCAATGCATTTTCATAGTAAAATCACTTTCCAGTGCATTTTCATATTAAAATCACTTTCCAATGCATTTTCATAGTAAAATCCCTTTCCAATGCATTTTCATAATAAAATCCCTTTCCAATACATTTTCATAGTAAAATCCCTTTCCAATGCATTTTCATAATAAAATCCCTTTCCAATACATTTTCATAGTAAAATCACTTTCCAATGCATTTTCATAGTAAAATCACTTTCCAATGCATTTTCATAATAAAATCACTTTCCAATGCATTTTCATAATAAAATCACTTTCCAATGCATTTTCATAGTAAAATCACTTTCCAATGCATTTTCATAGTAAAATCACTTTCCAGTGCATTTTCATATTAAAATCACTTTCCAATGCATTTTCATAATAAAATCCCTTACCAATGCATTTTCATAGTAAAATCACTTTCCAATGCATTTTCATAATAAAATCCCTTTCTAATAAATTTTCATAATAAAATCCCTTTCCAATGCATTTTCATAATAAAATCACTTTCCAATGCATTTTCATAATAAAATCACTTTCAATGCATTTTCATAATAAAATCCTTCCTAATAAATTTTCATAATAAAATCCCTTTCCAATGCATTTTCATAATAAAATCACTTTCCAATGCATTTTCATAATAAAATCACTTTCCAATGCATTTTCATAATAAAATCCCTTTCTAATAAATTTTCATAATAAAATCCCTTTCCAATGCATTTTCATAATAAAATCACTTTCCAATGCATTTTCATAATAAAATCACTTTCCAATGTATTTTCATAATAAAATCCCTTCCTAATAAATTTTCATAATAAAATCCCTTTCCAATGCATTTTCATAATAAAATCACTTTCCAATGCATTTTCATAATAAAATCCCTTTCCAATGCATTTTCATAATAAAATCACTTTCCAATGCATTTTCATAATAAAATCCCTTTCCAATACATTTTCATAATAAAATCCCTTTCCAATGCATTTTCATAATAAAATCCCTTTCCAATGCATTTTCATAATAAAATCCCTTTCCAATGCATTTTCATAGTAAAATCACTTTCCAGTCCATTTTCATATTAAAATCACTTTCCAATGCATTTTCATAGTAAAATCCCTTTTCAATGCATTTTCATAATAAAATCACTTTCCAATGCATTTTCATAATAAAATCCCTTTCTAATAAATTTTCATAATAAAATCCCTTTCCAATGCATTTTCATAATAAAATCACTTTCCAATGCATTTTCACAATAAACTCTCTTTCCAATGCATTTTCATAAGAAAATCCCTTTCTAATAAATTTTCATAATAAAATCACTTTCCAATGCATTTTCATAATAAAATCACTTTCCAATGCATTTTCATAATAAAATCCCTTTCTAATAAATTTTCATAATAAAATCACTTTCCAATGCATTTTCATAATAAAATCACTTTCCAATGCATTTTCATAGTAAAATCCCTTTTCAATGAATTTTCATAATAAAATCACTTTCCAATGCATTTTCATAATAAAATCACTTTCCAATGCATTTTCATAATAAAATCACTTTCCAATGCATTTTCATAATAAAATCACTTTCCAATGCATTTTTTTATAATAAAATCCCTTTCTAATAAATTTTCATAATAAAATCCCTTTCAATGCATTTCATAATAAAAATCACTTTCAATGCATTTTCATAATAAAATCACTTTCCAATGCATTTTCATAATAAAATCCCTTTCTAATAAATTTTCATAATAAAATCCTTTCCAATGCATTTTTCATAATAAAATCCCTTTCCAATGCATTTTCATAATAAAATCACTTTCCAATGCATTTTCATAGTAAAATCACTTTCCAATGCATTTTCATAATAAAATCCCTTTCCAATGCATTTTCATAATAAAATCCCTTCCAATGCATTTTCATAATAAAATCCCTTTCCAATGCATTTTCATAATAAAATCCTTTCCAATGCATTTTCATAATAAAATCCCTTTCTAATAAATTTTCATAATAAAATCCCTTTCCAATGCATTTTCATAATAAAATCACTTTCCAATGCATTTTCATAGTAAAATCACTTTCCAATGCATTTTCATAATAAAATCCCTTTCCAATGCATTTTCATAATAAAATCCCTTTCCAATGCATTTTCATAATAAAATCCCTTTCCAATGCATTTTCATAATAAAATCCCTTTCCACTACATTTTCATAGTAAAATCACTTTCCAATGCATTTTCATAATAAAATCTCTTTCTAATAAATTTTCATAATAAAATCCCTTTCCAATGCATTTTCATAATAAAATCACTTTCCAATGCATTTTCATAATAAAATCTCTTTCTAATAAATTTTCATAATAAAATCACTTTCCAATGCATTTTCATAATAAAATCCCTTTCTAATAAATTTTCATAATAAAATCCCTTTCCAATGCATTTTCATAATAAAATCCCTTTCCAATGCATTTTCATAATAAAATCACTTTCCAATGCATTTTCATAGTAAAATCACTTTCCAATGCATTTTCATAGTAAAATCACTTTCCAGTCCATTTTCATATTAAAATCCCTTTCCAATGCATTTTCATAATAAAATCCCTTTCCAATGCATTTTCATAATAAAATCACTTTCCAATGCATTTTCATAATAAAATCCCTTTCCACTACATTTTCATAGTAAAATCACTTTCCAATGCATTTTCATAATAAAATCTCTTTCTAATAA